TACAGGTGTGATATTTGTTGTTTTAAATTTGGCACTTGTTACATGTTGGCCCCTGGATTTTAAATTTGCACTTCGTATAGTTTGGTCCCTGGACTTTAAAATTACACTTATTACACTTTGGCCCCTGGACTTTAAATTTGCACTTATTACTGTTTGGTCCCTGGACTTTAAAGTTACACTTATTACAGTTTGGCCCCTGGACTTTAAATTTGCACTTATTACTATTTGGTCCCTGGACTTTAAATTTACACATATTACACCATATATACCAAATGCAAATCCATTAAAGAAAAACTATCTTAAAATGTTTATTTATGTCATGTACTAACAAAAGAATCCATCAATTGAATCCTAATTAAGAAAATTTGCAACTAAAGCTAACAAACTTGTCAAAAGGATCAACTCATTCACGAGCTTTTTTCATGTAGACCCCGAAACTCCCAAATCACCCTCCGATTTTGTATTCTTTTCACGTCTCCTAAAATTAATAAACAAATTATTTTCATTGTTAGTATTGTTGTCGTTTAGTGAAAAAAAATTTGAAATTTGAGTAACATTTTAGATGTGGATGCCTCACTTCGATCGGAATTTTGAGATGTTGGATTTTTACATGTCTTTTCACGGTGTCCATACTCTCCGCATTGCGGACACTTGTGTCTTCTTTTAGACTCATCTGATGATTAAATTCTATTTTTTCTTGGTCGTCCAGGTGGGCGTTTAATAAGAGGTGGATATATTTTCTCCCCATTTTTTGCGCCTATTGATCTTGTCCGGGTATCGGAGCAATTTGAAAAGCATATGCAGCTTTATAGTTCTCTATAGTAAAATAGGGATCAACATATTTGTCCAAGTTAGCATCCCTTATAAAAGCAATAAAAGCGGTTGCATGTACACATGGTCGGCCCTGAACTTGCCACACTCGACAACTACATTTTCTTTCATCTAGGTTGACCTCCCAACCTGTTCCCTTGTACTTCACTTTAGCTTGATTGACACAACTTCTAGTAACTTCATATTCACCCAAGTTCTACATGAAAAGTTAAAAATAGATATTATATATATATATATATATATACACACACACACACCATATATTATTGAAGTAAAAAGTAAAATAAATATAGTCAATCAACTGAATTATTTTACATGCTTACCTTAGCGATGTCATTGAGATGGTTTTTAGCAATAGGAACCAATGTGTCATTCCATGTATTCACCAAATTCCTTTTCTTATCAAACCGTTTCATAATATTTTCCCTAATTGCATCAAAGAGACCAAGCACGGGTTTTTAGCGCACCTTACCAATCCAATAATTAAATGTTTCAGAAATATTATTAGTGATGTAATCACACTTAGAAGTAGTACCAAACTTTCATCTACTCCATTTTTTGTGGTTGGTATTTAGATTTGCAATGGCATCTTCATTTTTATCACTAATTTCCTTCAATAATCCGCCATGCTTTGTAGGACGATAGGTCTTCACGGCAGTTTATAGTTTCTTGTTAAAGAAGTCACCACGAAAGTGTTTCTTGAAGTTGCTATATAAGTGCCTTATACATTCTCTATGCTCAACATTAGGATAAACATTCATCATGGCTACTTCTAACCCTTTTTGCATGTCTAATGAGATAACAAGACCATTTGGCGTTCCAATTGCTTTTTTGAGCAAGTCGAGAAACCATGTCCATGATTGTGAGTTTTCTGATTCAAGCACACAATATGCTATTGGAAAGATAGAATTGTTACCGTCAATACCAGTGTCACACCCCCGAACCAGACGGCGGAATCGTCCGGGGCTCGTGTGACTATCAATTGAATTATCATCACAATGAATATACATGAAATATAACACAATCATCACCAAACATTACATATTACAACTGATATTGTTCACATCAAGTACATTGTCTTAGATAACTTGTTCCCAAAATATTAATTGTACGATGATTGACATTACACAAAATAAATCCACACACTTGAAGGTTCTTCTGCTTAACGGTTACTTGAGAATACAAGTTATTTTGAAAACGGTCAACATATATAATGTTGGTGAGTTCATAAGCATGTTTGAATGAAAGATTTTGTATTGTTTGTAAAACCCAGAAAATCCGATATTTTCTGTAAAAAGTCTGAAAAATGATGTGAAAATCGAGAATAGTTGCATGTGTGAATTTCATAGTAAAAACATGTATAAGTATGCAGTCCAAATTTCTTTGTATTCTTTCTGTTGTAAGTAGAAGGTAATTGAAAAATAGTGTTTCCCCAGAAAATCCGATATTTTCTGATTTATAAAAAAATGTTGCAGTCCTGGCATTATCGTATGATTTATTTTGTATCAATATGATTTACGAGTTTTGATTTCCGTAATGTTGTGATGGTAATGGATCTCTATATGAGTCGTTATAACCATGCATGATAGTGACTGATTCGTCTGCCTTGGCATTTTTCCAAACGCCAGATTTTGATCAAGGTTTTGTCACCCTAGACTGGCCTAGTCTAACTGTAGCGAACAGCTCAGGTGTGGGGGAGTCACCCCCGTATAGATCTATACACAAACTCTCGCTCTCCCTCCAGGAGACTCTGATTATAACTACAGGCTACGACCATACACTCAATGGTGTCAACCGACAAGTCTCACTAGATCCCAATATTTGCCACATGAATATGTATACCGTTATATGTATTTAGAATTACGAACACCAGATGATACATGAACGTGAAAGGATAAGGCCCAACAAACATGAAAAGACAATTGTGGCCCATTAGACATGTAAGTCATTTCCAGGTTTGTTAAGTATGCAATGGACACACTAAAGTCCATTAAGCATATGATGAATTATTTCAGGCTAAATTAGCATGTAAATGGGCCACTAAGGCCCAATAACATGCAGAGGCTAATTTAGGCCCTTTAAGCATGTAATTGGATCGCGAAGGCCCAATCGACATGAAATGATTATATTGGGCCCAATAAACATGAAAATGGATCACGAAGGCCCAATAAGCATGTATAGTGAGTACTAGGCCCAATAGTCGTACCGTTGTTGTATTTCATTTGTTTGTTATAGTATAGTTCATTTAGTTGAAACATTTATCCATAATGTTATAAAAAGTCTAGTTGTTTTGTTATAGATATTTTTAGTTCGATGCGTCAAAATTCTATAATTTGAACTCGTGTTTAATAAAAATTACACTTTAGGTCCCTTAAGAACTAATTTGAACATTTAAAGGCTTATTTTTACATAAAATGTCATTTTTGGTCTATTTTAATTAAAAATAACATTTTAGCCCATTAATTTATAAAAATCTATATTTCCGCCCCAAATGTTTAGTAATTGACGGGTTTGGCCCAAAAATACATATATTGACATTTTCGGCCCATCTTTGCAGAAAATTACATTTTCAGCCCTTATTTGAATAAAATGACATTTTCGGCCCAATTTTTATAAAATTAACATTTTGGCCCAATTTTGAAATAAGTGTCATTTTCAGCCCCTAAATTTGTAAGTTTTCATTTTTGACTCAAGTTTTGATCAAATAACATTTTAGTCCATGAAAATTTATGTTTTTGCAATTTGGGCCCAAAGAGCCGTAAGGCCCAAATTAAGGCCCATAATGCAAAATATTACACTTTTGGTCCTTTGGAAGGTATAGTTGTTATAAAAACTCATTTTTATACAAATGTGACCCTTTTGATCCTTACAAAACCGTATGTGGCAAAATTATCCCAATCTTTTGTTTACTTGTCAAAAATGATCCTTACATAAGATTTTTGTTTTGTTTTTCACATCTTAGGCATGTATAACACTTTTATCCTTGTAGTATGATGTTTAAAGTGTTTTAGTTTATGAATCTCACCCATTTTTGTTAGAGTATTCGAGATTCATCAAGTTTTATCACATAATCACAACATAAACCAAGAAAATCACACATAGCATGCATAAATACATAGATCTACACATAAACACTTGTATTCTCCCCCAAAAACATGTAAAAACCGAAAACAAGGGGGTATGAACTCACAATGGGTTGATGATCTCGGTTGTGAAGAAGAAAGTGGAAAGATCTCGTCCTTTAGTAAGCTTTCTTGGGTGGAGTTCTAACTTAGGAAGTTCTAGGAAGAAAAATCATGAAAACATGTGTTGATAAGGAGTGATTTAGCTAATGAATGAAGTAAACCAACTTAAGTTTACAAGATCTTACCAAAGATTGATGATATTAGTGAAGGATCCACTTGAAAGCACTCTAGATCTTCGAAAATTTGAGGGAGGAAGGGGATGTTCTTGAGAGTGTTTGAGAGAGAGTTTTGAAAGTGTGTGTGTGTGTGTGTGTGTTTGGGCTTGCTCTCGGCCGTGAGTAGAAGAAGGGAGAAAGAGAAGTGATCTTTGCATGGAAGTATGAGAGTGAATTGATACATGTTATATAAAAGCCTCATTATCCTCTAAACAAAAATGAGGTGTCATGGATTAGGTTAATTAACCATTTTCTCTTTTTTTATCATTGGCCGAGAATTGGGCTAGGAGAAAGGAGTTGAATAGTTTGGGCCATTAATTGTCTTAGATCGAAATCATAAGGCCCAAGTTATTACTTTTCGGCCCATTGGGCCCATTGGATGGTTCACGACCCATTTGAATAAAAGAAAGGGAGTTTATGGCCCATTAAGGCCCATTAGGGTTAGAATGAATCATTCTAGGCCCAAGTAATCCAAAATGTTATAGATTTATGAATTGGGTCCATTTAGAATCCCAATATGGTTTCTAAGCCCAAAATAGTCGAATTGAATGCTTATTGGTCCATTAGGCCCAATAAGAAAATACTAGTCCATAAAGAACTTGAACCGGGGTTTCTAGGGTTTTCAACTCCCAAGTGACTTTCTGAAATGCTTTGCATAGAGTTTTGAACTTCAATTGTGAATCTTGACTAAGTTTGTTGTCATAGAATGAACATAGTGTATGATAACAAGTTAGAGTTACAATTATTATCATAGATGACATTTACATGATCACAGAATTTCCTGGCTAAAATGCCAGTTGTGAAAACCAGTTGCAGCGGCTAGTACACCATTGAACTTTCCTTTTAAATGACAAGCATCAAGACCAATATACGGACGACAACCAGCAACAAACCCTCTAGAACAAGCTGCTAAACAAATAAAAAACCTTTTGAAAAGTTTCTTTCCACCAACTATGTCAAAGTTAATTTTAACAACGCTTCCTTCGCTCCTTCGTAATAGTTCTTCTCTAAATTCATTCATCTTCATGAAAGAGTCTTCCCACTTACCATACATGTCGGTATAAGCTTGCTCTTTCCCTCTAAAAACTTTTAGGTATGGCACATCCACATTGTAAGTCTTCATAATCCAATTTCTAAGCTCATATGGAGAGACATCCCCATCATATTTCAACTTGTTAGTAACTACATTAGCAATCCATCCTTGAATGGCACGCTTATTGCCACCCTTGTTGCTTCAAGTGCAAGTATGCACTTCTACCATTTTCTTAACCTAAAAAAGAATTAAATAAACATAAATATATTTTTAATATAAAACATGTTAAATATAACTAAGGTATACACCTACTTCAAAGGTAACTTCATCTTGTGTAATAGAAGCATGAATTCTCCAATCGCACTCTAGGTTTTCACACCTTTTTGTGAACCGTGTCGGGTCACTTTTCTGAATGTAGTAGTTAAACTCATTTGCGACTGCAAAGTGGTTCAAAGCTCTCCTAAAATCAACCAAATTTTCAAATTTTGAGCTGACTTCCATGCTTATACTATTCTTACTAAATGAGTGAACTTCATCATCATCATTCATTAGATTGTCTTCATTATCAGAATTGAGATGACTATGATAGCTTTCTTCACTAGGACAAATGTCTGCATCATACTCTTCGTGTGGTTCATCTCTCTTGGCACACAAATGGTTAGTATGGTTACTGGAGCCGAGGTTATTCTCTGTTGTCACATAAATGGTTACTTGTTTCTCGCTTCCATACATGCTAAGCATAGTCATGAACTTTTCATCAGAATCAAGCTCAATAAATGATTTGTCTGGTGCATACTTGTCAACATAAAGAATAGAAAATTTTGGGTTGTTCTTTGATGAATAACGCTTTGTCACTTCTTCATGTAGTTGACTTAACTTGTATAAACATGTGTCAATGTGGATACATTTTTGAGAGCCAAAGCAATATATTTGCCTACAACTGTTCTTTGTTAGCAGAAAGTAAACCCCATATTTCAATTTTAACTTGAACTTGGATGTTGGTATACGTCTGAAATTGAAAATTAATTAGAGAAACAAGCATACAATTTAGTAAAAGTTTAATAAATTAAAATTATGATATCCACATAAACATACTCGATTATTGGAGATGTAACCTTGCTCTCCATATTGGTTTTGATGTGTCATGAAGGGTATTATCTTCTGTATGAGAATGATCTTCCGACATTGGTTTGTATCGTCTCTAAAACATAATTTTAAGTCGGCGATAAGAAAAAAAAGATATAAAAGTATAACACAACTTCAAGCATTCGAGTTAGTTATATTTCAAGATTGTAAATGTAGTAGCTTCAAACATCAAGATCGCACAAAGTTGACACAATAGAAAGAATTCAAGATTGTATTCAAGTATAAGTTTGAACATATTATTGGCATTAATTATAGTTTTTTAAACCGTGAAAAGACTTGCATTCAAATCCATGTCAATTGTAATTGACGATTGTAAATACAATGATTTGAAACATCAAGATAGCAACGTTTCAATAGATTCACGTGAACAAATCAAACAACATCAAAAACAAAATTAAAGAAAGGCAAAATAGGAATAGGTTCATTTTTTGTTTACCTGATGCGATAATAGGGGAAGGAGCAATTGATCGGAGTAGCGTACAGGGAGTAGCGATCGAAAGTATCAGGTCGACGTGAACGTAATTTTATGATACAGTGAAAACATGATCTGTTGTAGCAATAAGGAAGGGTATTATTGTCCATTCAAAATGATTTTTAATTATAATGATTTAATATTATGAACAAAAATTATAAATCAATAAAAATTACCAAAAAAGTAGATTTTGGTATATATGATATTAAAAAAATTAAGAAGAGCATATATGATATTTAGAGTTTAAGCCAGGTAATACGATATTTAGCTGTTTAGGACGGTTGTATACCAAATTTTGCCCTAAAAAAGAAATGATTCATATATAATAGTAAAATTACATAATTACTCTATGTTATCTGTATTTTATTGAAAATAAGTTTTTTTTATTAATTTGTAAAAAATGTAAAATTAGTAAACTCACCACAGCAAATGGACAACCACCACTCGCTTTTTACTTCATTTTTTAATGGAATAAAATGAATTTTGATTGGAATTTTATTATTTACCAAATATACAACATATTTGAATATTTGATTTATTATATCAATTTCGCATGTAACTTTTTTGTAACAAATTGAAACATAGTTAAATTTAAGGCACATAATCCATTTTACGAATAAAGACATGTATGTTGATTATATTGAAAAAAATCATTAAGTGTAATAGTAAGATGAAACTATTTGTGTTGAAAATTTTAATGTTTTTCTAAAGCTAGATATTTTTATAAGATCATATCCATTAATAAACCATTTTTATACAAAAATTATGTTAAAATAATGTAAATAACGTTTCATTTCTAACCCTACATTATTTTATATACCATCTTTTACACCAGAAATTATATTTCATATTAAATTATCTTTTAAACTTATATAAATTCTCAAAAACACTCTTCAATGTATTAGCTTTACCTATTTATTTATTTTTTTTAGAATTTTTTTAAAAATATATATAATTACAAAATTATGACCAAATTAATTATTTGTCTATTATTAATCTGAATTAGATGTCATTTTACTAAAATAACATTTGTTAATAAAAAACTATATTTAAAATGAATTTTTATATACTTATGATTAACTAATGTCGATTTAATATATAACATAATATAAGAATGATTAATTATTTTATGTACAACATACCTATACATATAAACTAAACTAGAATAAAATAAAATGAAAATTGAGAGACTAAAATTAACATATGAAAGTGTTCCACTATTTTGGTGTAAGTGAATTATATAATATCAAATTTGGTGTTATATTATTTATTTATATAAAAACTGTATAGACAATAGAGTATGATTGGAGATAGACAATAGAGCAGGGTGGAGATATAACTCACATACAATTTTTGTGTAGAAAATAGATTTTGTTGTTAGGTTGGAAATGCCTTAAGAAAAAATAGATTTTGTTGTTAGGTTGGAAATGCCTTAAGAAAAAACTCAGACTAACTAACTTTTTAAGTTATCTTTTTCATTATCATGCATGCCTTCACTTCAACTCGCTTTGTTTCTTCAACTTGACATAAAATGTCTTTGTCTACTTTTTAGTTCGATTGTAACAAGACATAGTATGCGATTGTTAATATCTTGATGGAGAATGTGACATAACATGGATAGAAAAAAGTTAATCAAGTAATAAGAAGACTTGAAGCAAAAGAAAAGTATATAAGTACCGACAATGTATTTTAGACATAACATAAAACTATTTTTTGGAGCAATCGTTTTTGAACCTTTATATTATAGATGTATGTTCTGGATGAACAACTTTCCCCTTACAATAAGACATTGTTGCCATATGATTGCCTTTTAAAACATGTGTTAATAGCATTCATAATAAAAGCTTATTTGACAAGCTTTTTTGGCAAGCTTTTTCAGTCAAATAAGTTTGCCTAAGTTAAACTAGTTAAACAAGTTATTGCAAGTGCTTTTTTAAACTATTTTATTTTTTATTTTGCTTGATAGGACCTATTATAAGCTATATGAAAATGTTCTTGTTAGTGTGCAATATTATTATGTTTGTATTATTATAGGTCCGACCCATTTGTTTTGTATTTGGCATTTTAATTGTATTATATATTCAGCTATTAATGAGAAGGCATGGATGAGAATTTTACCAAAAACTTCGGATTTTGTTTTGAGAGGATAAACCGATAGATAATGCAAGAACTGTCAAGAAATGAAACATAATATTTATAACCATATTACTAAGAATCGGAGATGTCCAAACATCCGAGTACGCAATTTCAAAAGCAATTTCAAAAGCAAAAGACGCAAAAGTGTTGGATAAACAAAAAGATAAATGAACATGTTTGTCCAATTGAAATGACTAACGTTATAAGCTACGATTTTTATTGTCTTTACATGGAATTAAATTTTATGAAACTAAATGATTGAAGGCGTCTTGACCGGGATGACCAACACGGTGATGCCAAGTGGTGGAGTTGATCGAGACAAAAGCTTGAGGTGTAGGAAACGTGACAGTGTACAAGTCACCATGGCTATCACATCAGAGAAGAATTTGTTTGGTTTGAAAATCCTTCACAAAATAATCATAAGCATCAAATTCAATAGAACAAAGGTTATCACGAGTAAACTTAAGAACATAGATTAAATTTTTGATGATTTGAGGAGTTATGAGAACATTTTTTAGCTCTGATACCAATTTATTTGGAGAAGAGGAAGGAAGCAACAAACAGAGAAGAGAAGGCAAGCAACAACATGAGGGGGGATAAAAGAAAGTATCTAAGGTGAGAAAAAGTAGGATAACAATGATTATTACAGCTCATAGAAATGATGAATGAACTAACTGATTGTATTGATCAGAAGGTATTACATTTATATCAATGAGAAAGTAATCTAACAACTAACTACTTAAGTTAATTTACAATAATACCCTTCTAATAGAATTTAGTAGAATAACCTCTAATATCCTCCCCTCAAGATGGAGATGGAGAATATATATTTCGTAATCCCATCTTGACCATAAAAGGCTTCAACTTGGTAGCAGGTAATGGCTTAGTGAACATGTCGGCAAGCTGCATAGCTGACTTTATTGGCATCAATTTAATGGTTTTGTCCACAACTTTGTCTCTTACAAAATGACAATCAACTTCGATATGCTTTGTGCGTTCGTGAAAAGTGGGATTGGTAGCAATTTGTAATGCAGCATCATTGTCACAAAATAGTAGAATAGGTTCTTTAAGAGAGATATCAAAATCGTTCAAAAGTTGAATTAACCAAAGTAACTCAGAAGTAGTAATTGCCATTACTCGATACTCTGCTTCAGCAGATGAACGAGATACTGTAGATTGTTTCTTTGACTTCCATGAAATCAAGGAGTCTCCCAGAAATACACAATATCCGGTTACAGAACGTCGAGAATCTTGCCATTTAGCCCAATCTGAATCACAAAATCCTTTGAGTTGAATAGATGAAGAAGATGAGAAGAAAATGCCTTGTCCAGGAGATGATTTTAAGTATCTGATGAGATGAGTAGCTGCATTGAAATGTTCAACTTTGGGATTGGACATAAATTAGGACAATTGTTGAACAATGTAAGAGATATCTGGTCTGGTGATATTGAGGTATAACAATCGTCCCACTAATCTTTTGTATTGAGATGGGTCTTTGTAATCTTCACCTATTGCACAAAGATTGGATCTTGGCTCCATAGGAGTATTCTTTGGTTTAGCTGCCAATAAACCAGCATCTTCAATTAATTGTAAGGTGTAATTTCGTTGAGAAACAAAAATTCCTTCTTTGGATTTTGCAATTTCTAATCCCAAAAAATATCCCAAACTTCCCAAGTCTTTCAACTTAAACTCTTTACTTAACTTCTCTTTTATTTCAGCAATGCCTTGTTTATATGAACCAGTGATGATAATATCATCAACATAAACCAAAAGAGCAACATATGTTCTACCAGATCCTTTATGAAAAAGTGAATAATCTGATTTTGATTGAGTGAAACCAGAATGAATCATAAACTGTGAAAATCTTTCAAACCATTGTCTAGAGGCTTGCTTTAGAGCATAAATTGACTTGTTCAATTTACAAACAAGTCTTGATGAATCTGATTTCAAACTGCTTTGTGTGACATTAAGACCTGGTGGTATATCCATGAATACTTCCTCATGTAATTCCCCATTTAGGAATGTATTATTCACATCCAGTTGCACAAGATTCCACTTTTTAATGGCTGTAATTGCTAAAAGCATCTTAACTGTAACAAGTTTGGCAACTGGTGAATATGTTTCAAAATAATCGATGCCTTCTTTCTGATTGAAACCTTTGGCAACCAGTCTTGCCTTATATCTTTCTATTTTCCCATCACTGCCATGTTTGATTTTGTATACCCATCTGCATCCCACAGTATTTTTACCATCAGGTAATGACACGATATTCCATGTATTGTTAGCTTTCATAGCATCTAATTCGGATTCCATAGCATTACACCATTCAGGGTATTTTGAGGCTTGATTGTAATGCTTTGGTTCAAAATTGCCATAAATAGACATAGCAAAGATTCTATGTCTATTAGAAACTTTATCATAAGACAAACACT